TCAACGACTGAGCCGCCCAGGCGCCCCTGTTTTGCTGTGGCTGCTGCCGGGGAAGAGAGCACCAGCAAGGAGACCGATTAAGAGCCTAGACCCTGGAGCTGGCCTCAGCCCACGAAAGTTACTCATTTCTCTGCGCCTCCGGGCTCCCGCAATTTGTCGACGTGAATAATGCTCCTGCCTCCCTAGGTTTGGTGAGTTTTAAATAATACGAGGTGAGCACTGGGAACGGTGCCCAGGATGGATTAGTGACCACTGCTCTCATTGTTATTATTAGGGACCCAGGCATGGTGAGGGCTGCCTGGTGTGATGGCTGCGGCATTTTCCAGCTGCAGAATTAATGCAACTCTCAAATTTCAGAGCATTTATTTGTTCAATATTTGCCGAGCATCTCTTGTGGTTTTGGCCTTGTTAACCTCCCTTGGAGTCATGGAAAAGAAATCTGGTGTAGTTCCTGCCCTCCACAACTCAACAGCTCTTGGGAAACAAATCCTAAACTCATCTGACAGGGCAGTGAGCCTGACCACCAGTAGGGGGCAGCATGTGATAAGCGTCAGGGAAGCCTTACAGAAGGCGGAGCCGGGGTGGCTGCATATATCCTAGCAAGACTTGGGTGGGAGAGGGCAGAGGATGTGAGCTATGCCCCCGTTCAACAAGTGTTTCTGCGTGGGCTCCAGCTCAGGCTGGGCCCCAGTGTAAACCATGCATAGACTGGGCCTCTCGGGGCAACCGAGGGCAGCCCAGGAACCGACAGGAATGCTGCCCAGACCGTCCAGAGGCATCCAGAATGGTCTGGGGCAGAGCGAGGGAGGTGGGTCATGAGCTGGCCAAGCAGAGAACTCGGGAGAATGTCCTGGGCAGAGGGCAGCAAGGCAATGGCCTGGAGCTAAGCCCAAGTATGTTGCCAGCTGGGATGTCAGCCTTCCTGCCAGGGGAGTGGGGCAGGGGTGGGGGTGGGTAAAGGGGCAAGATGGTGCTAGAGGGCCGGGGCTGGAAGGACAGCTCAGGTTCTGGGAGGTGGAGCTGGGGTTGGGAGGGGTGTAAGGAGGGTGTGAAGGGCATGAGGGAAAAGAGGAGAGTTCTTGCTCCCGCTGCCCCCACCCCAGCCTCCTGATGCCCTGGGCTGCATGTAGGTAAGGAGGCGGAGAAAGGTCTGGAAACATCCAGCTACCTTTTAACTACAGGCTGGCTGGTGAAGGTGCCAATGGCTTGCATCTGTATTTCATGCTTACCATGGCAGCGGGAGGTGTGGAAGCTGGGGGCCGCTGGCTGACTGGAACGGCTGACACCCTCACCCCCAGATCACATACGCTACCCCCCACCTCTGGACTCCCAGCTGCCCCGAGCTCCAAGCACACGCTACACACCAGCTTAGCTCAGCACAGGCGCCTTGGCAGCCCCTGGGGGCGGCAGGGGACCGCGTGCAGGGAGAGCTGCTGTCCCCCTAGACCGTCCTGCCTGGGATTCGGAACTCCCTGGAGGGACTGCAGGTTCGGAGGGCAGAAGGTTGCTACCACCCAGCTGAGTCACGGCTGCCAACAGGGTTTCCAAGGCAACAGCCTTCTCTGATTTCTGTCCCTCCATGGAAACATGGGCTGCGGGAAGCCTTGGCAACCAACCTTGGTACCCTGCTTCCGAGGGATGCTGCAGTGGCTGGGCACGTGGAGTCCGCCCCCAGTATGGCTGGACTCTAAGGGTGACACAGTTCCTGCCTCACCCACAAGGTGGCCACTGGATGCTACACCCACGGTCCCCCAGGAACCTGGGGAGGCCTGGTCTCGCCTCTGCTCTATCCCATTCTAATAGGGTGCCTCCATGCTGAAGGCCATCTCCCCTCTCTACCCAAGCAAAAAAATGCTCTTAGGAGCTCTGATGGAACCCACACAGGCAGGATGATGGAAAAAGGAGCCGTGGTGAGAGGCTGGGGTCTCCTGGGAGAGTATGAGGCAAGTGATGGGTCTCTCCCCAGAAAAATTTATACAAGCACGTGATTTTGCATGAAACTTTAAGGGGGTTAAGCTGATTCACAGATACTCTGTTATGGTGACCTGGGCACTGGATGGCGTCAGAAGGCCTTAAATCATGGCTCTTCCACTTGGGCAAGTTAGTCTGCCTCTCTGAGCTGCATTTCTCTCATCTCTGAAATAGGGACAAGAGCATCTCCCTCCCTAGATTGTTATTCATGACACTGGTGAGACCAGGGTGGCCAGAGAGGGGGTGCCCACTAGGGTGGGGTAGGGAGCAGGTGAGAGGCAGTTATGTTTAATATAACCAATAATACCAGTTATGTTTAGATCTGCAGTGACGGGAGGCGGGAGTGAACAGGAAGGGATTGGAAGGAAAAGTAAAAGCCATCGCATAATTAAAAAAAAAAAAAGGGGGGAACAACCAGTGTTGGCTAAGATGTGGAAAAATCAGCAACCCTGAATATTGCTGGTGGGAATGCAAAATATTCAGCCTTCGTGGAAAATCGTTTGGCCATTTCCTCAAAAACTTAAAACATGGAATTACCATGTGTGGTATTGTGATTTATATAAGATATATTTGGTCTGTGTCCCCAGTCCTGGTACAGAACTAAAATCCTTGGAATTTCTTAAGCCAAGACAGAGATCAAGGTGTCTTTTGTTATGTTAATGAGGTGACTTTTGCAAAAACACCTAGGGAACCTAAGGGAGGGGGCTACTTGACAGGGGACCCAACTATATGATGGGAGGGTTAGAACTTTCAGTCCTGACTCTGACCTCCAGGGAGGGGAGAGGGGCTGAAGTTGGAATCAATCGCCAATGGCCAATGATTCGATCAATCACGACTGTGTAATGAAGCCTCCACAAAAGCCCAAAAGGAGAGGCTTTAGAGAGCGCCGGGGTGGAGAGCACGGGGAGATTCCGGGAGAGGGCATGAAGCTCGGCACCTTTCCCCATCCCTCGTCCTATGCCTCTCTTCCATCTGGCTGTTTCTGAGTTACATCCTTTTATATAAACCAGTCATTTAGTGAGTACAGTGTTTTCCCAACTCCCATGCACCACCCTCCCCCCAGCAAATCAATAGAAGCCAGGGAGGGGGTCGCTGGAACCCCCAATCTAGAGCCAGAGATCTGAAGCACAGATGACAGCCTGGCCTTTTGACTGGCATCTGCAATGCGGGGAGGGGACAACGTGTAGGACTGAATTCTCAACCTGTGGAGTCTGACACTTTTTTCCAGGTAGATGGTGTCAGAATTGAGCCAGATCGCAGGATACTCAGCTGATACCAGAAAACTGCTTGGTGGTGTTGGGGAAAAAACCACACACACTTCAGAACTGGTGTCAGAATTAGACTGTGTGACTCAGCAATTTCATCCCCAGGCTCATACCCCGAAGCATTGAAAACAGGGACTGAAACAAATAGTTGTACACGAATGTTCATCGCAGAATCATTCACAATAGCCAGAGCATGGAAAGAACCCAAACGCCCACTAGCAGATGAATGGATAAACAAACAGGGATAGAGCCATGTGATGGAATATTATGCAGCCACAAAAAGGGATGAAGTGCTGATAGATGCTACAATGTGGATGAACCTCAAAAATACGCTGAGTGAAAGAAGCCAGAGCCCAAAGACCACATATGATCCCATTTCTATAAATATCTGGAAGAGGTAAATTCACAGAAACAGAAAGCACACGGGTGGTTGCCAGGTATAAGAAGGGGCTGGGGTGTAACTGCTTAGTGGATCTGATTCTATTCTGGGCCGTTGAAAATGTTTTGGAACTACAGGGAGGTGGTAGCTACCCCATATTATGAAAATACGCAACGAAACTAAATTGAACACTTCAAAATGGTTAATGCATTGTTATGTGAATTCTAAGTTAATAACAATCATTTTAAAAAGAAAGGGAAAAAACCCCCATCTGTCTCATTCCCCTGTGTCAGTCACATTGCTGTCCTGAGGTCAGCCCAGGCCCGGACACATCATTAAGAGAAGAAGGCAACACTGATACACGAAGAAAGCAGAGGATGAGACAACCCGGTGTTAAGATCAAACACTACACCAGTGGTTCTCAAAGTGGGGTCCCTGGACCAGCAGCACCAGCATTCCTTGGGAACTTGTTAGGAATGCACATTCTCAGGCCCCAACCCAGAACTTCTGAATGGGAGTTCAGGATGTTCTGGCTGTTTTGACAAGTCTCCCAGGGGTCCTGATCAAATGTGAGACCCACTGCACTCGATGGCTGACAAGCAGAGCCGTGGTGGTCATGAAGAGGAGCAGGAGCTGCGGATGGAGGGGGCTGGGCAGGGAAGCGTGGAGGGATTCTGGAGAGAGGCCAGTGAGCCTGCAGTTCTAGGTGGAGAGCCTCCCTGGACATCAGCCACCTATGTGTCCCCAGTTCAGCAGAGATGCCTGCCTGCCCAGAGAAAGGCCCCTCTCAACCCCAGGACGGCTGCAACCCCACCCATCCCCATGTAAGAGCCCCTGGTCACTCCTTACCCTTCCCAGTCGATATGTGGCAGGGGCTGCTTGGGCGTGTGTCTCAGCTTCCGGTGGAACTGGGTGAAGTCCAGCTTTTCAGGCTGCAGGTCCCAGGTGGCACCACTAGAGGATGAGAAAAGGTGAGGAAGTGAGGTAAGGGGGCGACTAGCCCAGTTACTGATGGGGACCAGATAAGTGGACAGAGGGAGTGTCCTCACAAAGAGGTGGGCTGGACGGGGAAGGCCCCCACCAGCCAAGGGCAGGATGGACAGAGACCCATCACTCGGAATGGAGGCTGTGGTGTCAGCTCTGTGCTCACAGACAAAGGGGCAGGAAGCTGCGTGCGAAGCCCCCACCTCTCCTCCGCGCTGCTGGGCAATAATGCGGGCCTATAAAACACAAGTGTCGGTCTGATGCTTACCCTACAGCGGTCCCCTAAAACACTTCAGAGTTTGCTTTCACACCTACATTTGAGGAAGGCTGGAGAAAAAGGAGGCCAAAAACCTGAAGCTTCTGATAGCAGCTCAAAATGGAGGCAAGGCAGCTCTGAGGTAGATAAGGCAAGTCAGCACGGCAGGACGCCGGCTGCCACCAGCCCCAGCCCCAGTCCCAGGAGACCATGGTGCTTCTGTTCTGAGTCTGAGCCAGGGGTGTGCCTGGAGCATGCCCAGTGTCGGCCAGCTCCAAGCCAGGGGCAGAGTAGGGCTAAAGGGCCACTGCCATCCATAGTCCGAAGCTATCACTCCCCAGAGGAGTGAACATATGGTAGGGACCCATTAGCAAAGCTTTCAGGGGCACCATCCCCACATACTGAGGAAACCCTGGTCAATACCTGTTCTTCCAACCTGGCCCATCAGGAACCTTCTCGAATCTGAACCACTGACAACCCTTCTTTCCTCCAGACCTCCCTGCAGC